ACTTTGAGGCCGAGGTAGTCTTGGGCAGATGTTTCCTGCCTGGCTCTTTGCAGCCCCGAGGCTGCCTTTCCTGAGGGGAGGACGGCTGCACTTTACCTGCCCCCTACCGCCCCCCCCAAAGCAGTCTCTTTCTTTCTCTTCCTTCCTTCCTCCCTCCCTTTCTTTCTTTTTTCTTTCTTCCCCCTCCCCCCTTTCTTTTTGGTGTTTCAAGACAGAGTTTCTCTATGTAGTCCTGGCTGTCCTGGAACTCGCTCTGTAGATTAGGCTGGTCTCCAACTCACTAAGATCCTCCTGCCTTTGCTGAATGCTGGGATTAAAGGCACACGACACCATGCTCTGCTAACTAGCAGTTTCTTTAAGGGATCCTAGCTCTATTTCATGAGGACCGGCCACATCCTGGAGGAGGCCTTTGCTATGTGTGGTACTTTAGCTCCTCTCAGAGGACACTGCTGGGATCGCCTCTGAAGCTTTCACTGAAGCCAGTCAGGAATCCCATAGACATTGCCTTCCTTGGCTCACTTCCACTCCCTGACAGACACTCCGAGAGCCCCTTAGATGTGATGTCAATTAAAGGGGCTTGTTAGGCCTCATGTTCAGATTTTATGTCATACATTACAACTATATGAACAGTTAACTCAAGGCTGCTTATGTTCTCCTCTCTTGCTTCCTGGGTGACCTTGTTATTCAACTGAAACAGTCAGTTGTTTGGTCCCATTGGCAGTTACTTCCTCACCTCAAGGGAACGCAGTGGTGGCGACAGGGAAAGAAAACGGGGGAGGAGGAAATGAGAGAACATAGTGTGTCCTCAATTCACGAAACACACTAAGTACATACGCTGTTTTCACCCTGAAGGGGTAAGCGAGCGAGCAGGCTTCTGGCGTAGCTGACACAAAGTTGGGAAAGATGTCTGTGGGATTGTGCGTGACAGTCTGAGTGGATGAAGGAGGTGATGTTGTACTTGAGTTTTTTTTGCAGCTTTTTTCTTAAAAATTGTAAACTTGAAATCACAATCATTTTTTCTTTTGTCTTAATACATTTCATGCTATATAAGAGCAGGGTGACTCACTCTTACTTTTCTAGTGACCGTTAAGTTTATATTTGTGGAGTTAGTCTTCATTCAATATTGAAGTCCAGGCCCAGACATTCCCACCTGTCTCTTCCCCCGGAGTCTTCACATGGCCCCCCATCTCACTCACCTCTCCCTGTCCACGTGACCCCCTCACCTCACTGTCTTTTCTCCTCTGTTCCCCTAGAGCAGCCCAAAGTGGCCGTCTACCTGACTAAGACAGAGGCCCTCAACCACCACAACCTGCTGGTCTGCTCGGTGACAGATTTCTACCCAGCCCGGATCAAAGTGCGCTGGTTCCGGAATGGCCAGGAGGAGACGGTGGGGGTCGTGTCCACGAAGGTTATTCAGAACGGGGACTGGACCTACCAGGTCCTGGTCATGCTGGAGATGACCCCTCAGCGGGGAGACGTCTACACCTGCCATGTGGAGCACCCCAGCCTGCAGAGCCCGGTCTCTGTGGAGTGGAGTAAGGGGAACTTTTATTTCACTATGGGCCCCACATGACACAGGATTTTAGTAATTATCCCATCCCTCCTATGCCACCAACCCCATCATTGTCCTGTGCAGTCTGGTTCCACTAGAGTAAGGATATCAAGAGAACCCTGACCTAATTGACTTTCCAAATACTACATACACCGGGCCCTGGAACCCATCCCTAACACCCAGAGGAATTGGCAATGATAGCTGTTAACTACATATTTTGTCCTAAGATTATAGACATGTCTGTGAGGTGAAAATGTCCACTTATCCCCTCCCACTCACTGCTGTGTTCTGCTCACCCCTGCTCATTCTCCTCATCACTGTGTTCAATCTCCTAGCTCTTCCTTGCCGTGGTTAAAGTCAGAGTAGAGAACTGGGTCCTCCCAGCCCCTCCACATTTTACAACTCAAGCTGGACTTTAGGTCTCAGTCAGGGTGTGTGGGGACAAAGCTGGCACTCAGGCTCTCTCTGCTCCCCAGGCGCACAGTCCGAGTCTGCCCAGAGCAAGATGCTGAGCGGCATCGGGGGCTTCGTGCTGGGGCTGATCTTCCTCGGGCTGGGGCTGTTCATCCGTCACAGGAGCCAGAAGGGTGAGGACTCTGGGGAAACTGGGGTGGTGGGGGCTGTGCTGGGGGGAGGAGCTGGGCTGGGGAGGAGCTGGGCTGAGGGGAGGAGCTGGGCTGGGGAGGAGCTGGGCTGGGGAGGAGCTGGGCTGGGGGAG